AGAAAGTGAACCACGGATGGGGAAATGTTGGCAGTTTTCTCAAAAAATGCTTGAATTCAAGAAGTTTTAGCTTTGCGTGCTTTTTTTTGAGTTGCAAATCCACTTGTTGATAAAAGCAATGTTTCAGGTGCTTCGGGAACCGGTGCACAGTCATTTGCCAGCTCCAGTTCCAGCTCTAATGCTGGAAATGGAGCTGCTGGCCCGTCTTCAGGTCAAGGTTATGGTGGTTTAGGTTCTGGGCATGATGCGGGCTACCAAGGGTAAGTTGAACTGCAATATTTCATATCAATGAAAAACAATAGTCGTTTCTTCTTATAATATAGGAAACACAAAAGTTTCCTATATTCTAATTTCGGGAATTACCACATGTAATAATTTAAATATGGAAATTATCCTTCATACATTGTTGTACAAACAAATTAGTTAATAGGTATGGCATCAGCCAGCCAAGCATGTTTCGCTCATTGTTTTTAGCTTACTTTTACCAGTCGCTTTTTAATAGTTTATATTTTGCTACTCCAGGCCGGTACTTTTCTCAAGAATTGGCGAAGCAGAAGGCACAGGAATTCATGTATCTGGACAGGCAGCAGGAAATAAAGGCGCATTTGCTTCTACTTCTTCGAGGATCGACGATCAAGGCAAAATTAAGTACTCCGTCCAGTCTGGAAAATACTAAGCGCTTCGGAGAACATGTTTACTTCACTCAATTTTTTTATATTTTACCTTGTCCAGTATGCAAACTGAGAATAAGTCAATCTTTTCATTCTTATCCACTTCAGTTACTTACAGATGATTTAAATGTGATGTATTCAAGGTTGTGATGTATCTAATAAAACTTTATATTCTACATATTCACTTTCGATGGTGTAGGTGACAACATCGACTATACTTAGCGGGCTTTAGACGAATTTATATTTGGAAATGGATAAAGTGACTAAATGCCTATTGCCAATGGAATAGGCTATGATGAGAAGAACTAAATAAGGAAAGAAAAATCGACTTAAATGTTTGTTTGCCGTTTTAAAGCCGTCTAATAACTATCGTCGCACGATGTAAATTTGCGTTCAATATAAAACTGTTTCGAGTCGGTTGAGGCATATATTTCTAAGTTCTCCTTTCAGAATAGAGATGTTTTCAAGTCAAAATGAAACTAACGTAACGCTGATGTTAAAATGTGCGATTGGTGCTTACTGTTTAATACCTCCGTTCAAGGGGGAGTTATGTAGAAAAAATACAGTCTGCTGTTGTCTATGAAATTAGAAAAATTATCGTCGTTTTGTGCAAGGGTGGCGCAAGATTATTGCAAAATTTCATGTTTTCCGTCCCGTTTTGCATG